TTCCCAAAAACCGGCATCGTGCGGAGTGGAGTACATAGCGCACTTGAAACAGAAGCGAGAAGAATTATACCAAAACATTCTTCTCAAAGGCTGATCCGATCGTCTCCTCCCTCCAACGAGAGAATACGACCCCCTTCGGACCCCAACGTAGAATGTGCCCAGTTCATAGCCCTAATAAATGGACAATTCATTGTGAACATCTCCAGAGCAACCCATGAACAGGGGATTAAATCATATCAAAGCATGGATACATCGAATCGATGCGAAGGGCAACGGCAGCGCTCAGGCTCGGGCCACGTTGCACAACGGCCCGGGATACGGTACTTACGGGGCTAATCTGCGCCGCGGCTTTTGTTTACGACACACATTCGGCGTGTCAACGAAATCGCACGTTCGGTCGTTGTCGTTGCCGCCTCGATCGGCCCCGCCTCCTCACAGAGGGAATCCCTTCGGCGGCCAACGCACATGATACGGCAAGGCTGGGGGGTTCCCCGTTGCTACAGTAACCCTGCGACACTTAATCATTTCGCATATAAATCGGCGCTATTCCAATAAGGTGGGGCATATAACGGCTTCCTTGTGCTAAAATCGAGACTACCGTAATGCGGGAACGCTCTTGGTGAAGGGTTAGTTCACATCCTGAGAGCTCCTCCGCCTACGTTTGAGTAGAAACTTTCATTTCGCTGGCTTATAATCGCTATTTCACTGAAATGCCCGCCTTACTGGAATAGCATCACTAATTACCCTTCACAGAATTTTCCTAGAACGATATAAGCGCTGGAGCAAATGTGTGTAATTTCTCGTAGGAAATGCTTGCAGTTGTGTAATTTCTCGTGTAGATCACAGTCTCATGTATTGCTTTGAAATTTTTCTCTCCAACAGTTGTGCCGTTTCTTTTTCACGCTTACGCTTACCTATTTCCTCTGGAAAAATAATATGGTAGCCGAATTACTAGCAATAGTCACTCAAGTCTTATCTCTTGAATCATTTCATTATCATTCTTGAAAATTTTTCAGGAAGATGGTTGTACTTGTTGATATTGCACAATTTACTTTTTTTTGCATAAATGTTCATAGCCTAAATAATCAGTATGAACCCTTTCAACGCCTGGTAGTATATAGTTTTCTTATCTCTGCAGCGATCAAAGAGGCCTTTCGCTGCTTGATATCGGTGTATCAGTCTCGCCCCCACGATTTCCTCCCACCGTCTTAATTTTAGAGCCTTCTTTTCATTGGAACTAGTACAGATGTGGTGGCTGTTTTCTTATCAGATCGTTTCCTACTTTACTATTTATCTGACACGAGAGGTTATCAAAACCTATAGTGTTTTCACCGTCATCGAAAAATTTTCAAAGGCGGCTGCGGCTAAGGGGGCAGCAATTTTTAGGTATATTAAGTTGCTGTTCTCCCACTGGAGATTTTCGCTAGCATAGTTCCGATCACAGTGACTGTGTGGAATGGTAATGTATATATTGCAACGAAGTGAAGCTTTGTCGAAATGAACTAGTAACAGTTCTAGCTATGGCCAACAGCTGCAATCCGATCCCATCGAATTTGTTCTCCAGGAGAATACATCTTATTCTGTGGGTAATTTTTTTTCAAAAACTATAAAAATTACCGAAGAAAATAGTTCGATAGTTCGATATTTCCATCTAGTTACACTCCATATCCAGGAGTTGCGGGGGCGTGGCCGCGCGCTTCACCCTAACATGACGCTTCCCTTTTAGCAGAATATCTCCGTTTGAGACTACTGTTGGACGCTATCCAGCCATAAGCGCTACCGCGCCAGTTCGACTGAAGTACGCAGCCACGCCCTTCGCGCTCTGGGGTATGGAGTGCAGATTTCGTTTTTCGGTCAAAATATTGGTGGCTGCAATTCATAGGTTTTCACAAAGCTTTGGTAATGAACGAGCAGGCTAGGAATGGAAGAGAATGCGTGCACTCGCTTAATCTGTCCATTCTCCAGCTACCTTTGATGAATTCTTATCCCTGGGATATATCAGGCCTTTTCAAGGATTGGTCTTTGGTTCTCAAATTCGCCCCGCAATTAATGCAATTAGATAGCGCATCTCCGTTTATCTTTGTCTTCGCTGCCCTCTGCGCTACACTTTAGGCGTTCGCGTGCTCTCTTTTGTACGGACGACCTTCGCCCGCGTGGCTCACAGGACATTCCCCAATCTTCGAAGGTCATGCCCGCACCGTTCGCCTCTCCTAAAAACGTTCCGATTTCCGGAATTTGGTGCTAGAGTACTTGAGTGCATTATACACTCATTTCTGCTGATATTTTTGCTCCTTTCGAATTCCAGGTGCTGGGGTCCGTTTGTTTCAACATCTTCCTTGCCTGGCGCAAACAATTTCGCCTCTTAGAAATCGTACCATTTGTTGCTAGAAACGTACCGATTTCCGAAGTCAGGAGAAGTCCGGAGAAGTTCCGATCTCCTGGGTCTGTCCTGTCTGCAACGACTCTGACCCTTCTATTACTGCAGTTCTTTTATTCATCTTAATTATCTACGAAAACCATCCGGTAGTCCGCTGAAGAACGTTTAAGGGTTCCTGGTGCGAAACTACAGTGCTAAGCCTGTTTCGCATGAAGAAACTGGTTCGCCTACCCCGAAGTTCCTTCTCGCACTGGGTCTAGGCAAGAATCATTATCTCACTTACTACAATCCCAGTTTTGTGCAAGGAGTAAACTCAAATGTCCGCTGTATCCGCCGTTCTTGCCTGTGGTTCCATAATCTCAACGAGACTTGTTGAGTACTGGTCATGCCATAGTGAGGGGAGTCGTCCGTGTCAGGGGCGCTGCAAGGAGGCTGGATGAGCCCGCCGTCCAAGCCCCTATTCTTGCCCAATCGAGTGATCGGTTAGTGATCGTTTAGCGGAATGGAATCAAGCAGCTAGCTGTTTGTAACGTAACTGCTCGCGGACTCTAATGCCGTCTTCGACACGGCCGCGTGACTGATTGCGATGGGTATCACCTGCTGGAAGTCTGTTGCAATAAACGGCAGCGGTTTGCTTTGGTGGGCGGCATCAAAACGGTACCACGGAAGCCTTTGCACAAAGCCACATATGTTCAACCCGTAAGATCCCAGTTATATAAAGTGGACTGTACCCATTTCCCAGCTTTCTCAAGAACTTAACAAGTCTACACCAAAAACACTCTTATAAGTGTCATTGAACACGAAAAGAAACTGCGAGAACACCAGGTAGGCGAACATGCCCATCCCAGTGTTCGACAAATGCGCGAAGCAAGCCACAAGTCCATGCTTGCTGTGATTTTGGGTGCTCCTGTCTACATCTAACAATCTTGGTAACTGGTCGGCGAAGTTGGAGTGAAAATCACTTCGCGCCGACAGATTCCGTTTTGGCTGAAACCAGGAGAATAGATCTATGTTCAAGGGGGAGGGGGGGGGGGTGGCGTTAATAACCTTAAGGGCATTCAAAATACACCCTTTGCAAATGAGAGTACTCTATTTGGAATTCTTTCAGCATCCCGACACTTTTGAGCTTGGGTTGAAGTCCTCATTACTACTGCGTTAATCCCACTTTTACAGAACGAGTCATATAAATGCCCGCACAGGGGCTTGCGCCTGGTCTTCCAAGGTAGATCTGAATCACAGAAGGTAAGCAATTGCAGTAACTTTCAGTTTTTTTCATTGCGTCAGCAAAAGTTTTTCGATCGCTGTCTGGTAACTCAATGGCGCAATCTATGTTATGGCCTCCGTTGAAGTATTTGCTGAGTGGACTGGCTCGCTTTACAAATAACGCATCAAATTGCTGACTCTGTGTCTCCTTATCTCATTGTCAATAAAAGCTGGCTCCTCTTAAATTTCTGTCCATTTTGAATTGCTTCTTCGTGGTGGTTTCTTTTCTTGAAAAACGCGTTGTTCTGCCTTGTCAAGTGAATGAAACTCATCGGTTCCATAATGAGAAAAATCCTTTTGCAGTGCTAACAACAAACTGAGGGAACACTGTCGAAATGGAAGTTTTCTCAAAATCCATTTACGCATTGGAGAAAGTGCGCTCAGCCATTCGTGATCATGAAGGAGACGTTGATGTTACGGCTACGATTCCGAAGACTCGCGCTAAGGTTGTCGTCGTTGGCTCATCAGGTTGGTCTTGATAGTTTCCTTCTCAAACGAAGACCCAGGTGCAGTTCGGCAACGGGTGGGCATTTTGCACTTTTGCTACTTACCATCGACGTGTCGAGGCATCAAGTGGAGATCTGTGAAATCTTGTGAAGCAATGATGGCTCGATAGCTTCTCCAACTTCACAAGAGCTCACAGGCCTTACCAGAGTGAGACTTGTAAACTGGAACTAGTGAAGCAGCAGGAGTGCAAAATGCCCCCCCCCTGCCACCTGGCCAAGACCCATCCACTTGTCGACTTCTCTCGACTGGGTCTAAGGTCTTGCTCTTCAGGTGTTGGTAAAACGTCGGTAATCTATCGTCATAGGTTTGGTAATCGCTCTGCACCATTCACCTCAACTATCGGAGCATCCTTTGTGGAGTGCGAAGTGTAAGTCTGATTTTGTATTTTGGATAAGGTCATTAAAGGTTTCGCTTTCAATCCAGTAAGGGCCCTGGAATCCTACTGTCTTGAGCTTATCGCAAAACAAACTAATTAGGCAGTTTCCGAATGTCGTTTTCGTTCATAAAGAATGTTTGTCATGTTTAGGGAAACCAGCTGCGAAAACATGAGCCTTCAAATATGGGACACTGCTGGGCAGGAACGTTTTCGTTGCATGGTAAGCCTCACCTACAACTTTTAAATAATTGCTGTTATAGAGCATAGTGGCGTTGTTCGGCTTGGAAGGGTGCTCATTAGCGAGCCTTTTGTTAGTTCATGTTAACTGACAGGCTTCATCAAAGTCATACCTGTAAAAGTATGTGTAATGGCTTCGGTGAGCCGCTTCAATCCCGAGATTCTGCCGGTGTTCTCGAGGCTCTGCACAAGCTTGATGGAGTATTTTTTGGTGCCTGAGCGTTTCGAGCGTATGCCCGCGCCAGCGACTAGGAAAGTATAGTTATCGATCTAGCGTACGCCAGCGTCGCGTGCGGTTTTGGTCAAGCTGAAACTGCATAAAGCTGGCGCACACTTGATCAATACATATTCCTAGTCGCTGGCGCTGTCTACGCTCAAAGGTCTACGGGCCACTAAAACTTAATTCCCTTAATGGCGCCAACTTTCTGTTTTTCTCTGCGTCTCACGTTTGGCATATTGCTTTCTGACTACTCTAACCTTTCGCATTCCATCTTTTCACGATAATAAGTGGCTCATGCACGCCAGTGTCCCCTCCCTCTGAAAAAACTCATCCACTGGTCGCGACATGTTGTTTTACTCTCGACGCCCTGGCACGCGAGATCCTTTGTTTCTCTGCGCTCTGGCCTTGCGCAGCAGGACCACCACCAAAAGTATCAGTTGTCACGTAACCACAGCTGTTACTTCCCATTTCTATGTACTTCATCGAGAAGTGTGAGGAATATGAAAGGTCTCTGTAAAAATAAACATGGTTTTTCCAGGTCCCAATGTACATGCGAAACTCTGCCGCTGCCATAATAATGTATGATGTGACTAACAGGCAGTCATTTGAAGATGTGGATAAGTGGGCTGGAGGTATGTCTCTTTGCAAACATCCTTTTTATTACATTTTTTGTAGGGAACATCCATATACGAGCGATTAACCCTATGAAACTGCGAAAATTTCTGAAATCGCTGGGATTTTTATGGGGTACCAGGTTTTCAGCCCTTAACTTCGATATCCTATTTTATAAGCTGCGCTGTGTTTCTATATTCCATAGGTTTGGGAGTGGAGGTGTGCAGTTGATCGTGTGAAACAGGCAGTTTTTTGTGAGGGTGCTTTCGAAAGTTTACTTGCGTAGTGTAAATTTCCGGTTGGCGTAGGAGCATAATTCTCGCCACCTGTTTCGAAGTCAGCATTACGTGATGTGTCGTAAAGTCAATTGATCACTAAATTTGCTGGACTAATTCGCCTTCTTGCAGAGCTTCGTAAGTGCTGTGGTACTTCCGACCCTTTGGTGGTGCTTATTGGGAACAAGGTTGGTCACTGCTATTCTGTTAACGTTTTTGAAGTGAAGGTAATTTTGGTATAATTTCAGTGTGTGTAATTTTGGTATAATTTCAGTGTGATCTCCAAGATAAACGACGTGTTTTGACGATAGAAGGCCAAGAGAAGGCTTTTGCTCTCGACGCTCGATTTTATGAGATCTCAGCTGAAAAGCCAATAAGTAAGTTTGATTAACTTTTTACCATCCATTGCATATTCTAGTCGTATCAACCCATCTCGCTCGCTCTGTAGTGGTGCCTTGCTGGCTAGCTCCACCATCTGCGCCCGTTCCCCTTAATTGATGGATGAGTTATTTCGTCTACCGTACCTAGATATCATCTCCCCGCGGCACGCTCCGTCATACACGTCTGTGCGATATCGCGAAGTGGTTCTGGATAGAATGAGTCTTCTTTTACGGATTTTCCATGACTTTTAATCCAGTAAAATGCGCGATCGTGTTTCTTACAGGGGTGTCGTAATGTTAGTTATTTGCTAGATTGGATATCGATTTTGGGACAATTTGGAGACTATGTTAGGTACTACATCTTGTAACACCGTTTTCCCCATGCGCCTCCCCCCCCCCGACAATGACTCGGACCGAAAGGGATCGAAGCACCAGTCTCAAAGTCCAAAGAGATCATGTTGTGTCACCGATAAAGTCAAGGGAGTCGTCCATTGGGAGCTGATGCCGTGTTTCTACTCTCACTGTTGGGAACTACTGAGAAAAGTGGCGTGAGCTGAGGGGGAATACAGTGGAAAGTCTTCTTTTCTAATGACAATGTGCGTCCACTCTCCAAAGTTGATTTCGATGAAACTCGCTGTTTTGATCGCACGGTTCTTTCTCATCCACCAGGTGGTCCTCATGCTGCCCGACTCCGACTACCTGCTCCTTCGGTTTTTGACTTGTATTCTTGAAGGACACCATTTCATTGATGAAGACGACCTCACAATGGCGACCTTCAGTCATTTCTTAGTAGCGAGGCTCCACTCTTCTGCAAGGAAGATCGACAAACACCTGGACGACTTGTTTCCCGTTGTAGGAGTCCGGAGACCTGCTATCAAAGAACGACTGAACGTCCTTTTGAGGTCATTTCGTCAGTGAAGCGGTCTCATCCAGAATTACAGCCAAAGACCGAATGAGCAGGTATCCGGACGGGAAAACGTCAGGGCCACATGATAGATGAGGAAGAACCGTGCACTTAAGACTACGCAGCTACACCTTCGGTGAAAGCTTCGCGGTAAAAGCTTATGGAAGCAGAACCTAATAGACGACCCCTCTTCGATAACTGATCAACATAATAGCTGATTCCTGCTTCTAAGTAACGATATGATCCCTCTAGCTTCTCTCTTACTGTAACCTTGGCATCGTTGTTTAATTCGTTAATATTGCTGTGCCTCTCGAGGTTTTTAGGTGGAATCTTTATTTAACGGCCTAACGTTTCGACAGGGTCGTCTTCTTCAGAGGCCAGAACTCCGCCGTCACATGCGGATGTTAGTCAGTAACAAATAGTCATGTTTGCTACTGACTAACATCCGCATGTGACGGCGGATTCACGGTGGAGTTCTGGCCTCTGAAGAAGACGACCCTGTCGAAACGTTAGGCCGTTAAATAAAGATTCCACCTAAAAACCTCGAGAGGCACATCAATATTAACGGATATGGTCCATTATTTGTGCTACTATTCCAGTTTTCCTCAGTTTGATGCGTGAGGTCACTGAAGATTGCCAGCTCGTTCTTACTTCATTTATTTGAGACACACGAACGAGAACGCCACACATTTATTCTATTTCAGCGTTTGCCTTGGTGTTAGAAGACCTCTGCAATGATCTTTTGTCCAGTGGTACTGCTGACGAGATCTCTTCCATGAGCTCTGTAACTCGTGAGGACGTCGTACGCCTTCCGTCGACTGCTTCTTCAGTATCGTCGAAGGATTCTAGTTTTCGAACCAGGTGTTGCGCATTCATGTAAACCATAGTTCTCATATTCTATTCTTTCTAAGTCGCCCTTTGGCAATCGATCCTGGCTCTAGAAACTGAGAAGAAGAGTCTCCACTCCCTGGGTTGGTAGTTTTGCAATGGCCGGGATCGACTGCGATCGTTTCAGCCATATTGGCTTATTTGTCACCTTTCACGTCATATTATAATCTGATTTGCTCACCACTTGATAGTATACTAGTTAATCACTTTTATCTATCCTCAGGAATATTTTTTTATAGTCGAGTTTTGTTTTTATGTAGACTAACGTTTATGTCTAGATTGTGATGTTACAAATAGTGTGTGTCTTTCGAATAACGGGATTTCCCTAGTTTTTCAAATAATCACTTTGAACCTCTTCGTAGTTTGTAGTTTGTCTCCTCTATACTTCTTCAAAACATTTGCAGTCTTTAATCCTGTGATTTACCACTTGAACGGAACCTAAGTATCAGGGATGTTTGAGTTGTTTCATGTTTACTACATGTCATGCATGGGTAGAAATTTGCCGTTCATATTGATCCGAGTCTGAACCGTACTGGTTTCATGTTCACAAATTGCCATTTTGCTATTTAATAAATCAATTGTTACGTTTTTGGGTTTGCAGAAGGAATGGCATTAGGTGTCAGAGCAACTGAGCTGTTCGAAGTGCTATAGGTTGGACTTATAACAAGCTAAATTTTTGGGTAATTTTTCGAATTCGATTACAACTTGAGGATAGTGGGGTGCGAAAACAATTTATAGGTTTTAGTTGACCTTCCAGCAAAAAAAAACGGGTCGAAAAGAGCCCGTCAGAATCACTTCAAATGGTACCCGAGTGTCTTTGCACGTGACGAGCAGGGGATGAGTAGAGACACAGAGACGCTCAGTGACAGTTGGGGCGATATTTTGTATGGAAATAGAAGGCGACATGGAAGATGGGATAGAGTCTCGTTAATAGTTTACTAATTCCTTTTTTGGGATGAGGCACGTACTTCCATTCAGAAGCATAACGGTTTTTCAACGCGATGTGGCCTATACAATGACTTGTGGGGGCCAGTCGAAAAACAAGCGAGGTGTTCCACCTTACCAGACGAATCTGGTTGCAATTTACTGTACCCGGAGGATGGACAGGGCACAGCATTCGATGGGGATTTTGGTCGAGCTTTTACGACCCCCCCCCTTTTGGCGGCCAAATACGACCCCCCCCCATAGGGAATCCCCATCGAACGCTGTGCCCTGAGGATGGATATCCTGGGCGGGAGCCGATGCGAGATTTGAACCGCGGACCGCGCGCGTGGTGCTTGCCACTACACCGCCTCGCCTCATGGGGATAATAATAAAAACAAATTCAGGGTTACCTCAGTTGCCCTAACTCCACAGAATATGGTCATGTCTGATTGTCTGATTCGGTTCCATGAAAAACTCTGCGGCGGCGCGAACGCGTCGCATGCTGCTTATCACCGAAGTGATAGCGCATTGAAATGAGAGAAAATATCAGCGCCCAACAAAACAAGGCAATAAACTCATGCCACTTCGCTGATAAATAGTAAACAACACTGGGACAAGAAGGGAAGGCAAGAAAGATCAAGTGATGGAGGGTTCCTCGCCGCTCCATCGCTCGGCTCGCGATACGATGCCCCGAGTGAATCGGAGCGCGTACAAAACCGAGCCGCGCCAAAACAGCTTTTTCTATTTTCAAAGGGACACTACTTGCGAAAAAAATCTCTAGAATAAGTGAGGTTGACGATGGCAGCACAAAACCTTGTGAAATCTCTATTCCTCTTCAAAGGTCAACATAGCTATATAGGTCTGCTTCTAAAAGCCTATAGTTTGCTTATTCTTCTATCAAATTTTTCTTCTCATCTTCTCACCTCTGTCAACGCGGATGAGTACCTCAGCGATCGTGCAAGGTCAACACGCTCCATCAAGCAGGTCATCAGTGTTAAGACTGTTTGGTTTCTGTCTCTACATGTTTGATTAGCGCTCGCCTTTATAGCTGACCCTAGATAGACGCATAATGGCCGAATGAGACTGGGGCCATGCGAGCATAAAATATATTCGATTGATGGGAAGTGAACGAAATCGATGTAGAAGGGAATTTCATTTGTTTCCATCAACGTGGAGACCTGTGTGCTCAGGGTACAGCACAAATGGGAAACGACGGTAAAAGTTCTAGTGCACCCAAATTCCCTTATCGTGAGCGACCCCATTTCCTTTCCCAGTTACCATCTTCCTAAGTCTCCCAACATCCTACAACTTTTCCCAGACTTCCAAGATTTTTTTCTTCAAAAAACTGACGTCAAGCGAGGGGAGGGGGGCCATCCCCAGTCAACTACTAATTCAAACCATCAGAAATGGTAGTCCTATGATCGTCAACCAGGAAAATTCTCCTGCAGCTCGGAAAAATTTCCCTCAAATGTAGATCCGATCTGCTCCCCAGCGACAACGTATGCCCCCCCCCCTTCTGGTGGGATTCTCCTAACGGTGCTGTACTCTGTGTGTACTCTTAGTGGAGCTACGCAATAGTGCTTTAGCAAAGTTGTACAGGCATCCTTCTGAAGGCTTTTACTGCGTAGAAAGCTAAGACGTAACGGAATTAATATAATACCTTCATGTTTACAAGAGAATCTCATGGCCTCTCAAAGCGGGTCGGCAAGGCTCGGCTTAACTACTCCAGCATGCTTCACGTCGTACTCACACGATCCTAACAATGTGTGAAAGAACGAACGGTGCTGTCGAATCAGAGGGTCGGGCGTGGGGCATTTTGCGCTTTCGCTAGTTTCTTCTTGCTACATACATAGTTACTGCTAGATTACAGAATGTCTTCGAAAGACCTATGACTCTTGTCAAGTGTAAACGAATCAATGTATTGATTCTTAGCAATAGTCACTAGTACTCCACAGGATGCATCGACAATGATTGACGAGTACCAGCGAAGTGCTCACGCAAAACCGAACTGCACTGAAGAAACTTGTAGTAATGCCTCCCCTTGAGGCAAATAATGCTGGAATATACCTCTTCGTGTTCTTTATGTGCGTAAAATATCATCCTTCTTTGTGGAAAAAAATGCTCACGAGCCACTGAGGAAACAAATAGAAAAAATTTGACAGTTTTTCCCTATTATAAAGACGTGTCAAGAAATTGGACCCTCTGAAAGTGATTCTTTCAGAAAGACCAATTTCTTTTTTCTTTGCCTTTTTTAAAATGTCTCCCTCCTACGACGTCATACGTCTTCAGGCATCTACGCCAATCGTGTAAGATACATACACAGTTGAAAAAACAAAAGAGGCTGAAGATACCAGCTATAGACATTCGCGGTTTAATCCTTAGGATTTCGAGCAGAAGCGCTGCCGAATCTCCGCAGAGCAGGAGAAGCACATGGGGGGTCGTACTTGCCGCTGTGGATGGGACGTAATTTACTCGTTTTTGGGGAGGGAGGGGTGTGTTTGGTAGATGTTGGGAGAAGGGGTCGTACGTGCCTTTGAGAGAAATTTGCCGCGTTGGGAAAAAAATTTCCCCGATTGCTGACTTTTCGCAGTTTTTCCCGTTTCACATGTGCTATATTAAGGGGGGCAAAAAAAAAAACGTCATTCCGGCCGAGTCACATATGAGCGAAGTTTTCGCAGCCCAGACAGAGGAAGTGGATATTAGTAGCGAGGGCGGAAGATACCCAAGATGCTTCCTCATAAAGCACGGAGCGGCGTGGCCGCCATTCACCTTCATGTACACCAAAATATGAAGTCATCTCCAGTCGCGGCCTGAGTGGAGAACGTCTTTGGAATTCACGTGGCTTCCAAACAGCTGGCGGAACCTTTTTAAATGAATCAACCAATGGATAGCTACTGAGACTGGCTAGTAGTCTTGATGCTGGCAAGACGCTCAAACATCGAGCTAGCCCGGCAACGTCGATAACGTCCGAGGACATCATCTTGCTACCCCATTCACGGCAGGCGCGGTTGGATGTCGTGTACCGGCAGTACGCTGAATGAAGACCGATATTTTCTTTGTAGACCCCGACTGAAGGTGAGCGCTGGCGGTTACATCAAGTAACTCGAGAAGGATATCCTCCCTACATGTGGTCGCCCGTACCTTCTTGGAGACCTTGTGCTGCTACAGGTTTGGGTGCCACCACATGGAATCGAAGGGTTTTGGAAAAACTCCCGCCTACTTCGATGAGGCGTTCGTAGCTGGTGAAAAGTAATATTGAACATTATGTGTCCCCTGACCTAACCGCCACTCAACTTATCCTAGTCGGCGGAGCTCACAGTGTCACAGCGGCGAAATCATACGATCCTCGTGCTCAAGCTCGGTACCTACTCTCCTCGCAGCGCGAATCTCTCGATGGCGCTCCTCAAGGCTGTGGCGGAGTATCATTATAGTATTTAATGTGCTCTTTAATATGGTAGTAAAAATGTCCGATAAAAATTTAATAAAGTGTAACTTATAGCGCCTTGAAAGTCATGGAGAGAAGCAAAATGGAGACGTTTTTTTAGCATCTCCCCCCACCCTGTAACGCTCGTCATCGGGCAGCTTCGATTAGGGCGGGGGGCGATCACACAGGGCGCGCTGCGCGTACCAGAACATCTTTGCTTTTTCCAGGCTAATTTAGTCATTTTTTCTCCACCTTGTGAAGATAAGGAGCTGCTAATCTGGGAAAAAGTAGCCAAAACAGTGAAAAGTTGGAAAAAATGACTAAATTAGTCTGGAAAAAGCAAATAGTTCCTGGCACGCGCTGCGGCCCGTTGACGACCGCCCTAATCAACTGCCCGGATGACGAGGGTATATGTCAATACCCACGCCTAAGCCTGCTTCGAAAAGACGGAAAAAAGGACGCGATCCGCGTCTTTCGTCTTTCCGCTTAATAACTCAGTTCGGATTGACATTTCTTAGATAGAAAGTTGTACCGTTAGACTCAGCTCGTTTAGCTCTACAAGATGATCCCTTGAAACTTCGAAAATGTCCAAATTTGAACTATGCCTTCCATCAAAGTACCTACGGGCACTCATTAGCGGGCGA